TGCACGAGATGCTTTTTCTCGATAATTCTCGGTTTAACGTTTCTGATCTTGATGGCTGTGTTCCCCCTGCTCCACTCCAGCGGGTCACATTGAGTCACAAGGCCAGCCGCCGATGACAATGGCATGCTTGTGCACAGGCTGAGCTATGGGTAGACTGTCTGATGTGAAGGGATACGATGGCACAGGCTGGACTTTAGAGGATTGTGTGTGTGTATGTGTGTGTATGTCGTGGTACATGCAGATATAAGTGCTTTAGCTTTGGATATCCATCCATAACATGTATCTGCTGCAATATGCAGATAGTGTTATGATACCTCTAATTAAAAAAAAAACACTCATATGGTATAAATACATGGAAGGGGTTGAATTTATAACATTTTTAAAATGCTTTAGACTTGTTGTTTGCCCCTGCTCTGATCTAGTTTAAATTGAGCTTTCCATGCATTCGGCCTGCTGCTTTAAAGACAAATAGCTCAAATTTATTAAAAAATTAAGACAAAGAATATAGTAAAATATAGTAATCAAATATAGTATTCAAATAGTTAGTCATGTTAGATGTAATTGTTAAATCAATATATGTCCAGTAATGGCTAAACTTTAGCCATTAGTGTCTTTGTCAGAAAAAGCAAAGATAAAGATAAACAAAAGCCTTGCTTAGAGTTAGAAAAAAAAGATAAACTGTTAGGAGACAGTACATATAACTTAACAACAATTCAAGAAGTACAAAATAAATACCTAGAGGAAGAGAAAAACATTGAAGTCTGACAAACATAAATAAAGGTCATTTGACATATAATCAGCTTTTATCAACAAACACCTTAAAGTAAATTGGGAAAAAAACACAAAAACACAAAACAGATTAAAAAAAAAGGTAAGTCAAATAACCAAAAGCTAAATAAAATAGCCAAATTAGGCAGAATAAACACATTCTTAAATGAAATATTTGTACGTGCAGCCACTGACGCACACGTTCTCTTAGCCCACATGTTCTGAAGATCGTCAGTCCCCTTTATGAAAGAACAAAAGTTCAACACCGATCCCCTCTGTCAGGACAGACAGGTTTCAGGTGGACGATGTTGTTGTCTCCATCACAAAGTGATGAATAAAACACAGTGTGGACGTCTCACAGCACAGACAACCTCCCTCCTTCCCCTCCTCCCCCTCATCTCCCCTTCTTCCCACCCGGCTACTCCACCACCTCCTTGTTGTCATATGACCACTGTTATGTGTGTGTGTGTGCAGTGGAACACAAAGTTGCTCTGTTAGCCCCCTCTGCTCTGCCTCTCTGATTCGAGTGCTGGAAATAAGGCCTTCTCACTCAGTGGTCTCAGGAAAACAGACGGACCCTGTACGAGTCCAGCAGAAAACATGAGGCAGAAAGAAAAAGAAAACGCCAAACTGATGTTTTTGTGTTCCAGGGTTAGGGACCGCCTAAGATTTTTTAGTTTAGGAGCACACTTCTTTCCTGTAGCTCCAAGCCCATAATTAATTGGCAGTTTCATGATCTGTCTTCATGCCATCATCCTGAAAGGGAGGGCTGCCAAAACTTTGTCCCAGTACCTGGAGAGGATTACAGACCCAAAACAAACACAAATGCTGAGCCAGCTGAATCTGAGCAACACCTTGTCTTACACACAGAATGACAAAGCAACAGATACAGGCTTTAGGGCTGCGATTCTTCCACGGCTTATGGGAAATTACACTGATAAAATGATCCAGTTACAAAAAAGCTGCACAAAATGCTACTCCTCACTGGCTTTACGACATCAGGAAACAATTTCCTCACAATGTCACAGTCTCAGTCACTGGTTCTGTGCCTCTTTAAGTAGCGCAATGGAAAATTTCAATATAATTTAGAGAACATTAGAGAACAAGATGAAGTGCAACGTAACTGCGCAATAAAAGTCTGGTTGCAGGCAACTGCAGAGGTAAATGTTGCCAGACTCTTTTTCATGGTGTCGTTTTCAACGTAGGCAAGGTGTGTGCTGTGAACGTGTTATCATTTGATCAACTCTTTATCCGATCTTGTGAGTTTACATACTTACAGACCTTAACCTGGCAATTTAAACCACACACCCTTAAGGTTCTGTTATAAACTAGCAAAACGTAACAGCTTTGCTAACTTTGCTGCCGTGGAAGCTGTAAGTGTGTATGCCTAAGCCAACAGTACTGTGCTCACACGCAAGTTTAAGGATGAATAATTGTGCATCGGACTCGGGCTTCGTCCGTGTCAGATCTACTTTAGCTGTCACTAACACTGAGGAATTCCAGTCTGTCATGACCTCTGCAGTTGTATCGCACAGTGAGGTGGACGAAAAACAAGGTGGACTGAGCACAGCCTTGGTTTTTGGATAACAAAATTGTTTTTTGTTTTTTTTTAAAAGCTATAAATACAGCGTCGCCTCAAGGTTCTTTAGACCAATTAAAGAATTCCTCTGAATTCCTCTGCGGTGTGTTAGGTACAGTAGCACTGTTGTTACAGTCAACATGACCTTAGTGAGTCTTCTTGGAGTGACCAACGCAGTACTCAGTATTGTTATGGCTCCATTTCCCATAACTTTATCGAGAAGGGCTTGTTCCATTATTCCGATGCACAACGTTAAAAGAAATATTGCACGGGAACTAGTTGGCGAGCAGAGTGGACAAATACATCATCACGTGGCCCTGTACGTGGAAGAGAGCTTTGTTTACTTTGGCTAATGGTCCATCATACATTGGATTGTGCTACATTTGCTTTCTTTTGTTTATGTTGTTGTATTCCAACCTTTCTAACCTTCATTAGGCGTAAGTCAGACTGTTCTGGTATTTTCATGTCCAAGATTATGGTGTTACCACTGTGTTAGCAGTTAGGTGAGTGTCATAGGTACTTATGTAGAGGAGGTGGGTTCTGAGTTTCGGCAGAAATCGAGCTTTGCACCTTAGGAACGGAATTCGAAGACCCCTGATTACCAAGTCAGATTCTGTCTTCAGTGTTAAAAGTCATAGCTATCTAAGATATCTGGTCTCTGGTAGAGCAACACAACATCATATTATGGCCAGAAATTAAACAGTAGAATATTCAAGAAGTCATGGTAAATAGCGTTAAGAATCAGAATAACTATTGCAGTAAGAAGCTATGTTTCTTTTAGCATTTTTTGTGCTGTATTTTTAGTAGCATTCGCATTAAAGCCTAATATCTGTTAGCCTGTGAAGCCCACTGCCCACTTGCTGTGAAAAAACAACTTTCGTTAAGCAAAGTACATCAGAAGACGAACTGTATAGAAACAACTAGCGGTGAGGCTGCTAGCTATCAGTTGTACGTAGCATGCACTGATACCGTATGAGTTATTGTCTGTCAGTAACACTACTGTGGAACAGAATACTGAGTTCTCAGACCAGTTGGTTTTGTGGCCCTTAGGGACTGTTTAGCTTGTATGCTAAAGCTAGGAACACAGTCTTCTTTAACTGAGAGGAAAAAGGGGTTTGGGAGTCGAATCCTCTGACAGTGCCATCTCCTGGATCTAACTCCAGATGTAGAGCAGAGTTTTCACCTTGGAATTAAGGACTATTTATTTTCTGATAATTAAAAAAAAACCACACTTTTGTTACAAAAACATAATTATATGAATGTAATTAATGCCACAGTCGTTTGTCATCATTTCACTGTGACACATTCATTATTTTAGTTTTTTTTTTTCACAGAGGTATTGTAGTGTGTGAGTTTGAATCTAATATTCCTGATGGATGAAATGCCAACGGCTGCACAGAGCTCCTCCACCACTCTCATCTGGATTTACAGATGTTCAAAGGCTTCAGCGTGAGTTGCTGCTGCTGGAAGTGTAACGGACACATCCAGCATTCTCTCTGTGCTCACAGGAGCGTTGCCTTTCAGCTCCGATGAAATTATCGCGGCCTTTAGCCGCTCTCTTTTTTACCCCCTCTCACCTTCTCGTTCCTCCTTTTTTCCTCTCTCACTCTGTCTCTCTGCTCTCTGCTGCATCAACCTCCGCCCCTCTGCCCCATCTGCCTCCCTACTGTTAAACCCCCAGCTCCTCGACCCCTCCCTTCACTGCCTCTCTCTCGCTCTCCCTCCAAGCTCTACCACACATACAGTACACACATATGCACATGCTCTCTCGAAGCTATACAACCAATCCCAACCCCCCTCTGAAAAAAAAATAAATCAAATCAATAAGACTCCTTTTTAAAATAACAGGAATGATTATTGAAACAGATCTTCCCGTGCAGCCTACTGTGGCAACAACCACACTTGGCCTCCTCTCCCAGTGCCACCGTCAGGATATACATTCATAAAGGGACACAGAGCAGCTGGATACCGATGAAGCACAAACAAATTCTAGCTTTACATTATCACTCATTGTCAGTGTACATTATTTGCTCCCGTGGAACTGCACCAAAGCACCACTGGCAGCAACATTCCTCTGCTGCTATAGGCCCACACTTTTTACCCACTTCTCCCAGTTCCTGCAGAGCCTGGCTGGCTGGGATTTGTGCTCTTCCCACTGCACATTCACATTTTGTGGTTCCTGGAGCCAGTTGTGAGCGCTGAGCACTTGATTGCATGTGATGGTGCTTTTTATGCTCCCACTTCCCCAACTTGTATTTAATAGATTATGGACTGAGCGTAGAGGCTTCCACACAAACATGCACACAGCTCTGTGCTTGTCCTACATACAGTAATTACAAGAACTAAGCACTGCATTCAGAATCAAGAAGCAAGGATGCTCTGGGGAGATGATGAGTCAAATTGCAAGCATAAGATAGCAGTGTCTGTTGGCAGAGAGCTCGTAGGGTGGAGGAGGGGACTGGACAGGCTGCCTGTCTTGGTGCCATCTCTGAACATCACATTTCCCAGTTTATCATAAAAAAACAAACCCACACATCCTTTAGCAGGTCTGCCATTAGGAAATGACAGCCCGTACCTGTGGTGTGTCCATAGCCGGAGACGCCTGATGGTGATTTAAGATGAGAGCTGTGTGAGAGGAAAAAGTCAGGCTTACCGTGTTCACAAGCCAGCATCCATGTACAAAAGGATACTGCAGACGAGGGTGCGTAGGGAGAGAGGAAGGAAGGCTGTAGAAATCCACCTTTAGTCCTGCAGCTTCATCTTCATATTTTCCTCATATTCACAGAGACTCTCCCTAACCTTAAAAAAATGTCTCTGTCTCTCTCTCTCTGTCTCTCTCTCTGTCTCTCTCTCTCACACACACACACACACTCACTCTCTCACACACACGCATACATCTCACTTGCAGTTCCCCTCTTTGACTTTCTTATCAGCGTCTGTGTTGTATATTCTCTCTTGTTTGCTCCAAGGCAGTTGAGACACTGCGGCGATGGGGGTGGAGGGCGTGTATATATGTGTGCGTGTGTTTGAGTGTGCCAGAGACAGAGGCAGAGAGAGGGAGTGCAGGACAGAAATGGAGGGAGGAGTCAGCAGGGATAGAGAGCGAAAGGGGGGAAATGGTCAGGATTAAATCATGAGAGTAACAGAGAGAGGGAGAGAGAGAGGGAGAGAGAGAGGGAGAGAGAGAGGGAGAGAGAGAGGGAGAGAGAGAGGGAGAGAGAGAGGGAGAGAGAGAGGGAGAGAGAGAGGGAGAGAGAGAGGGAGAGAGAGAGGGAGAGAGAGAGGGGGAGAGAGAGAAGGCGGACCTAGATGGGGAAGCGACAACATCTAGTGTTTAATGATAAAACAACACTGGCCATTTAGAACAATGCTGGTTGAAATGGAGAGGCTAGAGTAAACATTTGCGCTTGCTGAGGCAGCCAGTGTTTACTGACAGGCCAGCAGTAGGACGGGTTGTGATTTTCATTGATAGTGAGAGTATTGAGAGTGAAAAAAAAAACACACGTACATGCTAGGTAGAGAGAGAGTTAAGAGAGGAGGTNGAAAAGAGGAGAGGGAAAGGGGGGAGGGGAGACGTGACGACAAAGAAATGGGAGGGTGACTGGACGATGGTGTAATGTGCTGTTTCCGTGCCAACTGTTTCTGTGACAGTGGGACCACTTCCTTTATTGCTATTGGCTACAAACCAAGAATTGGTAGAAGCTGCGTGGGGCAAATGAGGCAGCATGGTATGGGGTTTAAATGGGTGGTTCCCTCGTCATCCGCTCGCTTCCACTTCGGGGGTTAATCTCTTGGGAACGTCGCGCAGAACGACGTTTTGTTTTGCTCCACTGCGGAGAACACATGCATGAACACACACAAACATAATGGTCACAGTGCTGTAGCATGACGTGAAGTATTGCAGGGTCATTATGGATGCCACCGGTGTGTAAAGAGACTCCTCCCTCTCTTCTGTCACTCCCCCTGACACACACACACACACACATATATGTATATACACGGACACTGTCCAGCAGGAAAAATCCCCAGCTCAGGTTGCCTACGGTGTAGTAATGAAATTACTGCTGTCATGAACTCTGAGGTAATTAATCTGGAATAGCCAGCGTGATTGCACATCTGGTGATGTCAAATAACTTTTCCTCATTCTGGCCTTTCATCTGGCCCTCATATTATGGCCCAGGAGGGAGGAGGGGGTGAAGACCTCCTATTTTGTCATTGTCACTTTCTTGCTGACTTTTTAAAAACAATCTATTGGAACTAAAATACAGCGGTCCCTCGCTACTTCGCAGTTCTCCTTTTGCTCCCACAGTGCATCGCAGATCTTTTTTAAAATATCTATCTTGCAGGAGTTTCGCTATAGCCCAAATTAAGACGCCAACACAGATGACAGTTAACAGCCTTTACAATAATGTGCGCTCCTGTGGTCCGCCGGTCATATACGGTATATCCGTTGAGGCCAGATTCCACTCCTCTATCTCTCTCCTTGGTCCCGGCTCCTACTAAAACAAGGAGAGGCTTGATTACTCCAATTGCACTCACCTGCGCTAACCTTGTCGTGTTTTAATTTATTTACATAATATGTACGTCTTATATTACCATCCTACAACTCTACTGTGTATATAATTGTGTGGACAAGGGTAATACAGTCTAGGGAGGGTTGATAACAGTGTGGGGGAGGTTTGTAAACGGTAAATATATACGGAAATTATATAATAACTATCTTGCCCCTACATCGCCGATTTTCCCTATTCAAGGTCTTGGAACGCAACTACCGCAATAGGAGTGGGACCACTGTACTATTATAAACTATTTGACTATTTGCTGGTGATTCCTAAATATCGGATTGAGGCCAAAGGCCATGTAGAAAGACCAAATGTCTTCTGTAGGGCATTCATTTGCAGCTTAAAGTAATCTTTTCATTAAAAAGCAATAAGGTGTTTTTTTTTTTAAACAACAGTCTTTATGGAGTACACAAAAGGTTCTTGTTTACCATGGTCATCTATGTTTCCCCTGCAGTGGCGGTGCCCGTGGGGTACTTTCTAAAAATCAAACTAGTCAACAAGAGGGTGAAAAATTGTACTGTTACTGTTCGTTTTGAATCAGTTACACTTGCAGTGATATTCAAATGGGTGCAATAACAGTGGTAAGAAGAGTGTCTGCTACTGTATGTCCCAGAGCTGATTATTATTACATTGTTCGGGAAGTCTGTATCAGACATGTAGCTCTTCATATTACTGAGTACCCTTGAAGTAGCTCTCAGTTTGAGAAAGGGTGGTGACCCCTGCTCTAAAGAGTATTCACTGTAGTTCCAGACGTCGTCATCAGGGGCACAAAAGAGTGGCCATAGTAGAAACATTTAGTACATTTTCCACAGAGGGAATAATTACAGAATAATGAACTTGAGTATATATGCAGAAATACTTCTTTTATTATTTAAAAAAAAAGTTAATTTGTTAAGGATAAATACGCCTCAATCCCCCAATCGATTGCAGACTAGGTTCAATTAGCCTCAATCCCCCAATCGATTGCAGACTGGGTTCAATTATGTGATTTGTTTAAAAGTTAATCCTGTGTTTTGCTCCTCTTCAACATGTATAATAACATTTGCGAGAGTTTTTCATTCTCAACACACGGATGCTTTCGGTGTCAGTGTTGGTGTTTATTGTACAAGTGAACATTGTTAAAATGGGAATAGAAACAATATACCATGGTACAGTGTCATATCCTGTATGTCAGGTCTAGAAAGTGATACCTTCCACTCAAAACCCACTCCTAACTGTTCCTGTCACTATATCAGTTATGTTGTTTTTACATTTCTGAAGAAGTTAAAAAAAATCATGGTTATTGATGTGTTCAAATGACTACAGTGATACTTCAGGTCACAAACCGCGTCAAAGAACGAAATACATTTGTGACCAGAGGTATCACTGTAAATTTTCTGAACCTCTTCAGAAATGTAAAATAAATTGATCAATTTCCAAATAATTTTTTTCCCAATGCAATTAATGTGCGTCCAGTTAATCTGTTCTATGGATGTACTCCTTGAGAGATCCGAAACACAAAGAAAGACGAATTACCTCTTTGTCTCAGCAGTAATACATTTAGGATCCACCACTTTTACATACAGTGTTCCCTTTTGAGAGCAATAATAAGGAATTATTTTAATGAAATCACAAAAAAACAAAAGTATCAACACTTGTGTGTCAAGCACGAACAATGTTAGCGGACAGCAGATGCGTGAGAACTGGGGTGTTGCTGAGTGAGGGGCCAACCGTCTCATGCGGTGTTTTGTGCGTCGGGCATCTCATGTGCTCCGGTGGGCAGCGTTAGTAGTAGTGAGAATTACGATTACTATTCACGTGTGTGCGTGTTCGTAAATCGAAGCAACGTTTGTAAAACTAAGCAAAATGTGTTTGAAAATAGTTTTCGTAGATTTGTTCGTAAATAGGGGCGTTTGTGACCGGAGGTATCACCCTATTATTCTTTCTTTTAAAACAACAATTTTTACTTTGAAAAAGGGCAATAAGTTTATCTTTGTACATCAAGCTACCAAACGTCATCAGCATAAAGACAAACTCTTTAGGTCTGAAACACTGCTATTGCACATATTTTGATACATTTTACTACAGGAAGTTTTGGAAGAATTGTATTGTTACACAGTGATTTCCAGAACGGCGGGCCGCAGGATTTCTGATCACTCAACCAGAGTGGGGGCCAGATAACTACATCCATGTCTGTGATACAGTCTGTGGCACATCATGGTAAAAACATTATCTTTGCCTTACTTAACCTTGTTACATACAGGTGGTTTTACGTGTATTTAGGTTCCTCTTCCTCACATTTGCGGCACCATGTTCCCTTCACTCCCTCCTCCCCCTCTCCCCCTTTTCACTTCCACACTGGTTCCCTGTTTGTGTTAAATTGATTTTAACATTTCAACTATCAAAGCTGAGCATTGTCTCGGGGCATATCAGACTTAACACTTCACTAACTACAGCAAAGGAAAATTGTGTTTGTGACAGAAGGTGGTGAAGCTCCCGCAGAGGGAGAAGTTACAGCCGTTATGAAGTCAAAGCGGCATTTCTTATGTAAATTCACTCGTCTGTTTCGTAGAAATGTACGCAGCTACTTGTTTTGTAAATCCTTCCTCGGTCATGCCCTTATTTTGTCTTTTGTTTCTTGATGGTCTCTGACGTTATCGTACGACTCTGTCCACGTCCACTTTCTGTCTCTCCATAACCTCCTCTATCTGGTTGTTGCCCCACTCAGACTGCCTCTGTGCCTCACCCAGGTTCCTGTCTCCCTAATCCTTAATCCGGTGCAAATCGGTCAAGCAGAACAAGCCAGCTTTGATCAGGCTCTCATATCAGCCGTGCTAACATTGTCAGCACACCCGGATTCCATAGAACCCCAGAACCCACGGGGAGTGCTTCAAACAGGCCTGCCCATCCCTGACTTCTATGGAGGGCAGAGGCAGAGGCAGAGGCAGAACAGCTCTTGTTTTTTCGACAGCCAGCAACAGACTGACGTCTGTCCCTTTTTTAAACCGTTAGCGTCACCATTTGACACCATTAATCTGTGATTCCACGTTTGTTTCAGCGCAGGCTTCTTTCTGCACGTTCTAAACTCTGTGGGAATACAGATCGGCAGACAGTGTGAAACCACTTGTGGTTGAGAACAGCACAGAGATGTGAAAGTCGCTTTGGTTTCTGTCACTGTGTGTGTGTTTGTGTGTGTTTGTGTGTGTTGACACATTGCACTGCATCCACAGTTTGACATTATACCTGCCTGTGTGG